ATAATTTAAGTAAATTTTTATGTTTGGTATTGTGATATGTATGTTACAGACGTTAAACCTAGAGCACAACTACATCGGCAAGCTATTCAACAACAGTTTCACCGAGTATCCTAACATCAAGAATCTGATGCTATCGTTCAACAAGGTGCACACCATTGAGCCCGGGGCGCTAGGGTCGCTTGGCGAGCTGGAGATGCTAGACCTGTCACAAAACGCCATCAAGGAGGTGCCAGCCGGACTACCCAAATCGCTGACTCAGCTAAGGCTAAACGGAAATCCGGTGTCGGATATGCGCCAGTTGGAGACCGCCGTCGGACTGCGGGTGTTGCAGCTCAGGGGCTGCGACCTGAGAACTTACCCGGAACTAGGCATCATGCCCAACCTGGTCAGCCTGGACGTGTCTGAAAACGGAGATATCGTGGATCTAGACCCCGCCCAGTTGGCCGTCACGTGCCGCTTGGCCCGGCTCAACGTGACGGGCGCTACCAATTTGTTCCGACCCGGCACGCCGGGCGCTCACTGCAGGTGCCGGCGCGTCGTCCAGTGGGCCAACACGTACAAGATAACCGTGTTCGGTTTGGGCCATTGCCCGGACCCGCTGGCCGGAGACGGCGAGCTCGACATCCACGACGACCCGAACAGCGAGGCCTGCGCCAGAATCCCGGAACAGGCCCTGGCCGCGTTCAAGGAGTGCATGGCCGAGTGGGAACACCGCAACACGCCCTACTGGGCCATCGCCTCTGGTGTCGTTATCGCCGTGGCCGTGCTGTTGGCGCTTTGCGTGTGCATGCGCCGCCGCCGGAGAAGAGGCCGCCGYGGCAACGCCRACAAAGTGCAGAGCGCCCAATCGCCGCCGCCGTCCGACGCCAAAGTAGCCCACAACGACTCGGCCGGCAACAATAAAACCGAACCGGCCGCGCTCTTATCGTCGGCCGCGTGAAATCGTCCGATTTTTCCTGTGTTTTTATTTTTTTTTTTTAACAAATTTTACCTGCATCGTGTCTTATGTAAAATAATGCTGCCCGCGTATAATATACACATACGTCATTGTATATATTATATATCTGAAATGTTTATCTTATTATTTTCGTTTTGTTTTATATATAAATATAGGTATTTTAAAAAGATAGAAGGGTATCATATTAATATGATTGCAATATAATAATTTACATTTGCGTGTAATATACCTCAGTTAATATAATCTCACGCCACAATATTATGTATTATGCATCATTAGTCAATCATTATCCATATTATTATACCTACACACAATGATAAATTATATAGAAAATGTATTTAAAAAAAAAAATAATAATAATAAAATCATTAATGATCTCCTTTAAGCGCCGGAGATTTTCGGATCCCTTCGGGTATAGCTTGGTAAACGCGTTTGGGTCAACGCGTAACTTTGTTTCCGTAATAGTTTTATTTAGCATGACTTTATTATACAGTATGGGTAATAATATAGCTGTAGAATTAGGACGTATAGATACCATACTGCAGGTTAGCTGGAAATGTAGTGATTCTTGCTTAAGTCAGAGTACWGAGATCCATCCTCGTTATGATTTATACTTCGAGTTTGGTAGATCGATTTAGGTGCGATCGAATCTTTCGACCAACGCGACGAGAATTCACGGCGTTTCACACTCTATATATATATATATTATTGAACAATACATTAATTATTATGCTTAATTATTATGATATTATATAAAGTTAGTCACTAGACATAAATATTATATGATTTTTTTATTGCAATTCGTAAATATTATTATGTTTAATACAATAAATTATTACTTTTACAATAATACTGTATATTATAATAAATTCATAATTCGTGCATAAAAACAACAAATAAATATTTAAAAGAAAATACAGTATTTATTAGTTTGGGCTAAGAACACACATGATATTATATTGTTTTTAATGTGTATATTTTATTGTTTTGATTTTATTCCACGTGAACAAAGTGTAATGGTCTTTATTTTATATTTTTTGTTATGTGTTTTATAATAATTAAATTTTGATGCTTTATTATTGAAGATTTTTATTCTTGTTTCTGCTACCTAYCTCGAAGGCTTCAACCACGATTTTCTCCAAATTATTTTTCGTCAGTTTCTGTAGAAATAATATTATAGTGTATTATCACCCTAAAGGTAAAATAATATGTACTTAAGTTTTAACTGTATAGGATTATGAAGACCTACCTAGTGGCTAGTACCTACTATAAAGTGCACTTATCGCAAGTTATGAACACACACCGATGCCCCATGTATATTTTATAATAGTTACCATGTTATAATAAATTTCATTAATCGTATTTTTGATGGACTTTAACACAAGATTACGTAATGTGTTATTCTATTATTCAACTACGTTGGCAGTATACATTAGAGAAAAGGTTATCATTAAGTAGTTGCCTCTTTAAAATCGAAGCTATTGCTATAGACGTAGTAATCTGTGCGTGCAGTACCACCTATATATATGATATAGCCTATTGTTAAGGATATATAGGTATAAAAGGTATAATTTCCTTGTAGTTAATTGCATCGCTGATATCAAATTGTTAACTTTTTC